ATATATATAATATATGCATTTAAATATATATAATACAATGTACGATATATATATAAATAAATAAATATATATAACGTACATAGAGTATGTAAATGTATATGTAAGAAAGAATTTTCATATTCTTTTTCTTCTTTTTTTTTTTTTTTTCTCTTCCCATATTTAAATAGTAATGAAGAATAACTTAGAGAATTTTTCGTAGATAAAATACGTGTGTGTGTGTGTGTTATCATTAATATAATTAATTAATTAATTAATACTCAGTATCTCTCTTGGAAAAAATCTGACACTATTTTACGTATCATCGTGTTAGATAATAATCATGAACAATTTTTCATGATTTTATTTCTTTTCTTTTCTTTTCTTTACGTGATAGATCGAGATTATTAAACTAACATTAGTCGGTCCCCAAATAATCCTGAAGTAGGATCCACAGGATTTTATAAATCATTGGAATTATTGATTATTATTCCTCCACAGCCAGCTGGAACTGTTCCTGACCTAATTGAACAAACCCAAATTATTGGGATCAGATCGTGAATTTGATTTGATGATTAATACTTTTATATATGCGGGATATTATTTTAGATTTTAATAATAATTTTATATGTATATGATAAAATGTAACAAAATGTAAGAAAATAATCATTTCGGTTTTAAAATTAAATCGAAAATTTCTAAAGGATTAGAATTGCATCCGTAACTGAACTAGGAGACAATTAGTAAGAGATTACAGTTAAGCGTAGAATAATCTTTTTGGTAGTTAGATAAGGGGTTGTTAAAATTAACAGAAACGTACGTACGTACGTACGTACACACACATATAGAGAGAGCACATAGATGAGGACAGATTTAGCAAATGTAGTAACATAATCCCGCATATAAAGAGTATTATAAGATGGGATTTAAATGTGATCCCCTCGCTTACTTTGCAAGTATGCTGCAAGTTCACGATCCTCAGCTAACAAAGCTAATTGCCTAGGTGTTTGACCGTGTCTATCCTTCACCGTTAAATTTGCACCACCTGCTACTAGCATACAACAAATCGAACGTTTCTTGTATTGCGCTGCTTTGTGCAAAGCCGTTTGACCCCTGGAAAAAAATTACAAGAACAAAAAAAGAAGAAGAAGAAAAAAGAAAAACAAAAAATACATCCACGAAATATTAATCAATAATAAATCATTTCTCGTTTAATCCCACCCCCCTTTATTCCCATTTCGTTATGGAATAGAAATTCTACATCTGTTCGCACGAGATTCCCCCATATATTATAAATTCGTTCGTATCGTTGATAATTCAAAAATATATATTCAATAATGAATGGGAACAAAAAATATATGAATGAATTAATGACGTACTTGTCGTTGTCAGCAATGTCAAGAATCGTTGGGGGTGCACTGGCAATAAGATATCTGACGATATTCTTATGACCATATCTCGAAGCCAAATGCAAAGCAGTTTGTCCAGTAGTGTCGATTGATAAAAGTGAATATCCTTTGTTATGTAGTTCCTTTAGGGCAGACAAATCACCGATTTTAGCTGCCTTCAAAATCCCATCCGAGGTCTTCTCAAGTAGACCGGTACTGAAAGTATGAACCTCGGAACTCAACCCGAAAAGTCTATCCCTTGGACTGGAAAAAAGTAAAATCGGACAACATTTCATATTTACACGTTTCGTCAAATAATTCAGCGTAGATAAAAAAGAAAAATATATTTACCTGATAAATGTATGGGAAGTTTGATCAGCTGATGATCTATTTACGTTGGATTCTGTAATTGATTTCGACGAGTTACCATCATGTTTAGAAGTTGTTTGTTTCCTCTCGTCGCCATTTTCTTTTATTTCTTCCTTGGTCTTCTTACGTGTTCCTACATTAACAGATTTCTGCGATTGGTTGTCCACCTCTTTGCCCAAGTTACAAGTGTTAACACTTGCTGTTGCTGCTGGTGGTGGTGGTGGTGGTGGTGATGATGACAGTTGTTCACTTTCAGATTGAGAATTGGCTTCGGCATTGATCGAAGATACTTGTTGTTGTTGTTGTTGTTGCTGACCAGTTGGTTGTTCATTATCTTGTTGAACTTTAATCGAATTGGGAAGTTCTGATTCTCGTTGAATTTTCGGCAGATGATTTGTTTCTTCTTCTCGTTTTGCCGAGGGTTGATCACTCGTTGATGGGGGGCCTGCTTTTGTCATGGCTGGCTTTTCTCTTGGACGTTCTTCGCTATATCACACGTTCTTTCTATTAATCTAATGATAGGACATCATTACCATCGAATTGTCGTTAGATTATCGACGAGAACAACAGCAAGAAAAACAGATAATACAATATATATAAAATAGAATTTTTATAATGGCGTATAATTATTGTCAGGCGTGCATTTGTAATTGTCATTGTTTCTTTTCTTTTTTTTGGGGAGGTCTATATCAACGTAACATTTAACACAGGAATGCAATTGTGATATTTTATGACATTTGATGAATAAATTCGCGAAATCCCAAATAAAATTGATGAACATTTTGAATTTACCTAGGCGAAGGATGAGCCGTCTCGGGTTCCTGACAAGCTCTTGTTATTTCGGTATCTACAGTTGGCACACCTTGACCAGGACTACTTTCTTCAAGAATGTAAACAACTTCGGCTGCAACGTCGGTAACGTAATGCAATTGTTCTTGGGCACGATCGATCCTAAAGAATCTTTCGGCTGTGCAGGCTGTGTTGTGCACGCGATCATGCAATCCAATGGAATTACGATGTAACACACAAGAAATAAACGTAGTTTTTTTCAACAAATTTAAATGTTTCAAACAATTCGATAAATATTACTTACAATCTAAGAAACAACACGTATCCATGTTATAATTCTTCGCTAAAATATTTCTCAATGATACCAAATCAGTGGTGGCATCCAAATCCAATGGTTCGGGTATCAACAACTTAGCTGCCTTTTTTAATCTATCCTTGTCGTGATAATATGTTTCGTAATCTGACATTTTGATCCTCATCACGGGTAAATTGAGTCTCTCCAATTTGGCCACGTCGGGTTGCGATTGGCCAGTGTTTCTTCTTTTAGCAAGCATCGTTGCTTTGTTTAACAGACTCATATTTATGATCGATGGTAATAATCTACAAGCTTCTCCGTCGACCTTGAGAAAAGAAGAAGAAGAAGAAAAAAAAAACCGAAGTCAAGATTGATGATAAATTTTAAACGATCTGATACCTAATCATCCCTATCTTAGATAATTTAATCGCAAGATTTTTCTACCAAAATCGGTAGATAGATAATTAATTGATAAACAAAATGGGGATGTTTCTCAAAATGTAATCGAGATTGTTTGAAAACAAACAAAATTCTACCTGCATCGGAATGGTCCTCGTAGTAACGAGCTTGGCTTTGCTGCATTGTGCAATGCAAGTACCATGACCACCAGCTTGCAATAATGGTAATTGATAAGTCGTTAGACCAACTATTTCGATCAAACCATCTTCGGTGGAAGGTTCCTTCGTTGTACTACCGGCACACCATGGATGGGTTCCACCACCATAAGATGCGATATTCAAAAATACTATTGCGTGTACACGGTGTTCCTTCAACTTCGACGTTAAATCTTGACCGTCGCATTCCAAGCTCACAAATTCCGACAAATCCTTCCATTTTCTTCTGACCAAATCTTTACCACCCATTTGTCCGTAAAACATTTTGTTTCTCAATCTCGAATTGAATTTCTCTGGGTGTGCCTCTGTTCAGAGAGATTAACAGAGTGAGAGAGAGAGAGAGAGAGAGAGAGAGAAATAAAAAGAGGTGAGGGTTTGCGGTTAACACACATATATATATGTATACACACATATAGAATAAGTTATTCCTTGTTACTAAAGTTCACTACTACTATATATGCAACAGTGTACGCGTTTGCGGTTATTGCGGTTTATAACTTGAGGGTAAATGTATCTAGAAACGCGTTTAGACATTATTCCCATATGTGACGGGATTAAAAACACCCGACAACTATCGCTAGAATCATTTTATTCGTAACTCGACTAATATGATTATTAATTAACGATATTATTAACGAATTAACACGTGTGTCCCGCGTTAATGAATATAATATATTTATAGAATTTCAATTGAGATATATACTGCGTACAATACACGTTATTCATCGTGTCGATAAATAATATATAAATTTGTAAAATTACCTCGTGCCTCGTGAAATTCTAACGCAATGTGGGCGTCAACGCCAAGGGAAAAATAATTATTGACAACGTTCAATGGAAGATTTTCTTTTGCCTTTCCACTTTCATCGTCGTTCTGAATATCCGGATTCCTTTCTACAACCAATTGCCATCTGTCCAATAAAGTGGTCTCACTTTCCCCGATGCTGGTTAATATTTTGCCGATTGGTTCGTCCGTGTAACCACCACCCCAACCAAGTGCCCGTGCCAAATCGTTTCCTGTACCAAGTGGAAGAACACCCACTGCAGGTGGCGAGGGTGCACCAATTTGATCCAATACTGAGAGAACCCAACCGACCGTACCGTCACCCCCGCAGGCTAATACTCGTAAATTTGGTACTCTCTTAAATAATTCCAATCTAAATAACAGATAATTCAGTTCAACTAAAGTATTCGTTTGCAAGAGGATAATAAAGTTCTAATTACTTTCAAATCAAATGGTTTTGTCGAGAATGAACAACACTTGCAAAGAATTGTTAATACATTTCAATTAGAAACTTCAATAATTTTTTTCATTGCAATACTAATAATATCAAAAATATACTATGGATAATTTTTTGTTATTGTTGCAATATTGTTTTAGCAAAAGTTGTTTATAATTCGATTAAATCTTTGAGTTGCCTTCTCCTTGATAGTAGACCACAGGGTTATGCATACATGTAACACGTGTTGCCTATCGTCAAGGGGCAGACGACACACCAGTTTCCCTATCTACGACGAAGTACGACGTGTTGCTAACCTCCAGGCACATTAATTAATATTCGTATGAATGAAATTATACGAGAAGAATTGGTTAAATATTAAATAAATTCAAACCACTTTTGTTTATTAAATTAAACTCCGCTCTCGGGTTAAATATAGGGACGATATTAATTTTCATTTTGTTGTTCGTTTTTCCTTTTTTTTTTTCTTTTTTATCGTAGAATGTTTAATTGAAAAGAAAAGAAAATAATATGTATATGAATAAATATAAAGGAGGGGATAGAAAAATGATTGAGAAACGATAAAACAAAGTTGCGCGTTACAATTCGTAAGCAATATATTATACTTTGTTTCGTTATATTTTGCAAATAATAATAATAATAATAATAATAATAATAATAATAATAATAATCGATCTCGAGCGCGTACGGGTGGGGTAATTGTTATAGATAAAATTAAATTGACGTGTAATTAATATTCGCAAAAATCAGATACACGAATCGAGGCATGATAAATAAACGAATTGTAATTGTATTAAGAAATAAAATATTCTTACCCCATTCTTGGTCCACCTTGAGTCAGATCAAAAACCTGTCGTGGATTTAATAACCATTGAAATTTCTGCAACAATTTGGCACCCTGATTTCCTCCTGATTTTGGATTGATGAAAACTAGAACTGGCCTAACGGTTGCCGTTGGAATTGGTTTGACTACCCAAAATTTGCTTTGATCTTCCTTCTGTTGTTGCTGTTGTTGTTCCTTTTCCTTTTCCTTGTCTCTGGATTTTCTACGAGTCGTCGATGAAGTAGACGGACCTGTACCACTTTTCCTTCTTTTCGGTGACTTTCTCAAACTACTTTTGAAACTTCCCCTTCTTGGTAATTTAACGATCCAAGATGGCGGAACAATGATTGAAGAATGCGAACCCAATTCGCAATTCTCACCGATCTTGTCTACGTTGAAGCATGCTTCCTTGTTGTGATAAGCGGCTTTGCACCAACTACAGTTAACCGCGACTATTTCCTTAGAGGTAAAACTCAATTTAGATTGAAAGCTCTTACTGCAATTGGCGCATTTGCCTTTTTGCGAACGTCTGTGCACCCAATGATGATTCGTCGTAGTTTGTTCGCGATATTGTCTAACCCCAACGTCGCGAAAACTCGTCTTGCAGCCAAAATTTAAACTCGGTGCGCATACCGCGTGGACGACTACCCGACAGGCCGAACACTTCATCCGTTGTCCATGTTTCTGCAACAGTTCATTCCACTTTTTGTTTGTTTTTTCTTTTTCTTTTTCTTAAGTTCAGAATTTATCATAATTACAACGTTATTAACGATACTTTTACGAGTAAATCAAATCCAAATGTAAATAGAAACATTTAAATTGTCACAAAGTAAAATTGTTTTTAAAATGAGAAAACTTTATAATCGATATATTATTTCCTAGTTACTTTTTCTACAATTTTTTTTAAATATATATATAATCGAATATAATAATACTTTTAACGAGAGATAATCCTTAATGAAAGTTTGTTTTTTTTTTTTACAACCTGTTAAAGAAAATAGGAGTGGAAAGAAGGGTGTTGTTAAGGGGGATGAAATAGGCTGAAGTTTCGATCGTATTCTTGATATCGATTTTAAAGGAGACTCGTGTAATTAGTCGAGCCTGATTAGTCTCTCGAAATGACCTATTACTACTAGTCGTTTCATTATACATGGATGAAATGCTCCCTCCCCCTTCCCCCTCATTCTCCATCAATCCCCTTTGTTGATCACTCTAACATAGAATAATTAAAAACAATTCGAAGATAAATTATCTTAAATGTGATCTCTCGTCATCTTCGTCTCGATTTTCTATTCCTTTTTTCTTTTTTTTTTTATTTCTTTTTATAATAAATAAAAGTGGTTGCATTCTGATGAGACGAGAATGGTGCTGACAAAATTCTTGGAAAGATATTTCAAATATTCATACATACGTATTTACTTTATATAATATATATATATATATATTTATAATATATACATTGGACACTTCAAAGAGGAAAGGATGCTACTTGAAAATTGTGACAATTTTAGTTGGAAATGCGGTCGAGTGGACAACGAGCGGTTTTATATTTTTTTTCTTTTTCTTTTTTTCTTCTTCTTCTTCTTCAACTAAAGGGTCAAGGTTATCTCAAGAGAAGAAACGCCTATATCGTCATCGTCGTCTAATTTTTACGACGTTACACCCTATATATTTGAAGTACATAAATTCTTCCTGAATTATAATATCTTGGAATTTGTCCATCACTCCCCCTTCTTCCTCCCTACCCTTAAAGAAATTGTCTATCGATAGAATTTTTTTGATTAAAATCATTCGCTATATTATTCCATGATGAAATGTGAAAGTTTGTTTGTTTTTTTTTTCACCTTTTCTTTTTAATTTGATTTTTTAGTCAATCATTTGTTCATCTTAAAATCATCGAATAAATGGAAAAGATTTTCAAAGGATTTTTTTTCTCCAATATTTTACAACGAAGAATATAAATTTCTTTTTTCCCCTTTTTCCTTTTTTTTCTGTCTATCTACCTATCTATCTCTCTCTCTTTGTCATCTATTCTCTAGATAGTTTATTGAAACGTGGCAGCAAGTTACGTGATGACATTACTCGATGAACACAAACGACGATCGGGTAAAGAGAAGCGTACGACTTCAATTATGTTTTCCTAGCTGATTCATTAACGTTAGAACATCGAACGTGCAAACGAGTTTTTAATAGCTAAAGTCTTTCCCCATATAACCTTTCTATATATTTATATAAACTTGTGAAAGGAAAACGAAGATAATAAAAGAATATGAAGAAATTACTTAGGTAATTATAATAGATATTATATAAAAAATCTAATATTGTGTGATCACGAATAATATTATTATTTGAACACAAAAATAAAATATATATATATATATGGTTTCTCTATATAATATTGAAATATATTATTTATAAAATAAAATGTGTGAATGATGAAAAAAAATATGCTTACCGAGCAATCGTTGACGTAACAAAAGTCACCAGAGGCAGCAGTAGGTACCCAAAAATGTTCACCATTGAATGCACTACCACCCCAATCAGGGGTTGATCGTAGCTCACGTTGACCACCACTCGAGGCACCCTCTTCTCTTCCTCTGAAAACCACAATACACTTTGTTCCTGAGTGTGTCATATTCCTCTTAACCCTTACTTCAATTCTCTACTTCCTTTTATCGTATATTTTTCACAGTCAAACACAAATATTTATTTATTTATTATTATCATCATCATCATCATCATCACATTGATTTATTAATTATAATTCAATCGCGCGAGTGAAAATAATTCGGTGCAAATTATTAATTGCACAATTGCACGAGAAAAAAAAACAAAATTTTTATTCTTTCTTTTTTTTTTTTTTKTAATAAAAATTAAATGTTTCGCGGACACAAAATAATCTTAGGAACATTGTAATTGGCATATTAACGTAATCGATTGTTAATATAATCCTCCATAACATTTTCACGAAGGATATTAAAAAGATATTGCAAACGTTTATAATTTTTATCGTAGAAGCCAGTTTAAAAGCAACGACGAGACAACGAGAAGTATGCAATTAGCTTTCGTATTAAAAAAAAAATAAAGAGAAAGAGAGATAAAGATAGAGATGAAGAAAAGAAAAGAAAAGAAAATTGTTTGGCCGATTAATCGTGCAAAAAAAACATTTCACAAAAGCCATAATATATATTATCCCAATTCCTATAGTAAATTTTAATCAGAATCATATTTTCCATTCACAGTTATATATTTGATTATATAAATATCATTTTTATATGTTTTAATTGTTTCAACATCAAAGAGATATAGGAACACACGCACACGCACACACATACAAGTAAAAAAAGGAAAATTACAAGAAGCAACAAGGAAAGAAAATACTCGAGATAAATTACATCACTTTCTTTTCTACTTTTTTCTTATCATTATTATTATTATTATTATTATTACTATTATTTCTATTATTCCTCTTTTGGTTTTTTTCCTCTCTCTCTCTCTCTCTCTCTTTTTTCCTTTTCTTTTCTTTTATTTTCTTGAGTCCTGGGGGGTAAGTTGACTCGTTGAAAGGATCCAATATCGGATTGCAGGATCTCCCCGTAGTACGGTAACATAAAGAATTTACGGATGCTTGAAATTTCCGAGCTTGGTTGTCGTGGTAACGCCATAAGAGAGAGAAAGAGAGAGAGAGAGAGAGACTAATATGTAATTTTAATCATCAAACATTATTTATATATATATATATATATATCTTTCCTTAGAAGGAAATAGATGATCAATTTTATCTTGGTCATTCGTTACAATGATTTTTTTTTAATAAGAATAATTATCTCGTGTTGTGTTTGGTAATTATTATTAGACGAATATATTGTTAAATAGTTTTTCTCTTTTTTCTTTTTTTATAAACGAATAAATTATTATCTTTAACAATAATTATTGGAAATCATTTACTCATCTCTTTTTTTCTTTATATTTTTCTATATCGTTTTTTTCGTTACACCTTGTACACGTGATAATATTTCAATTATTGTTAATAATTGTTTAAATTCATTTCTCCTCTCTCTTTCTCTCTCTCTCTCTCTTTTTCTCTGTTTATTTAGAAGACTTTTAGTTGAACAAATCGCACCAGTATTATTCTTTCAAATACTTTTAAAACGTTTTACTCTGTTTCCAAAACTTTCACAACGTTCCTTTTAAAAATGTATAAAAATCTTCTCTTCGAGAACACACACACACACACATACACACACACTTTCTTACTAAAAGAAAAAGAAAAAGAAAAAGAAAAAGAGAAAGAGAGTTAACAAGCTGTGGTAACATCAACGAGCATTGAATTTTTCCTACTTTTTCTTCCACTTTACGTAAAGAGTTTTTGAAAGACTATGTTGCTCTGTAGTAAAACAGAGAGAAAAATAGGCTAAGGGAATAGGGATTTAGTTGGGTAGAGGAATTGTGAGAGAGTTAGAATAGGGTGGAAGAGATCCGGGTATAGAGGGGGGAGAAAAAGGGGTTGGGGGGAGGTTGGTTGGGCAAAGGTGATAGAGTTGTGTGTTGTACCTGAAGCTTTTCGTGTTTCGTAAAAGTTTCAAATGAAATTCGGAATGGGTTGGTAAAGAGAAGAGTCCTTCCTTTCCTACCACACAGACCCACCCCCGCGTCCCATACCCTTTCCAACCCCCTGTGCGTAGAATTGGATGTTTAATAATGAATGCCAAGCGAGCCTCTGAAAAATTCACGAGTTATACTACCAGGAAGGGCCAGGGGCACGGGGACGAGGAAGGGGATGGTGTATACGAAGGAATGTGTTGCGTGGTCCCTGTAACCCCATCCCCCAAACACCACCTACTCTCATGCTCCCTACGTCGACCCAATGAATTTCATTCTCTTGATTGCTTTCCTAAGAATTTCCTCCCCCTTTCCTTCATTTTTTATTATTTCCAGTATTTTGTTAATTATCCTTATGATTATTCATTTTAATTTGTAATTTATTGTTTTTTTTGTTCATTTTTTCTTACTATCATGTGTTGTTGTTACAGAAAGAGAAAGAGAACGGACAACAAAATTGTTTGGATTTATTTAATAATATTTAAATAATTGTATATATTTATAATGATTTAATTTTTCAATAGAAAAAAGTGATGGTAAGCTAAAGGAAAGATAAAAGTTTGGAATTTACGTTTCTGGTATTTCTTTTCGTAAGTTTTTATTTTTGTTCATCGATTTGGAAAAAAGAAAAGAGAGAATTTTCTTGAAAAATTTTGGGTTCGGTAAATCGTTAGAAAAATGCAAGAGAAAAGTGCAACGTTTTGAGTGAAGTCAGAGATGTATATCGTCGTATCCGGTCTCTCGACACTTTTTCGATACGGTTAAACATTTTTCCGATAATCGAGCGCACGTGTACCAGTTTGAAGAACGTATCGAAAGAAAAATAAGGAATGATAGATAGATAGATAGATAAATAGATTAATGGGGATAAATAGATAAAAATTGGTGACGTGTAAAGGAAGAAAAATATAAAAGGAAAGTATTTAGGAAAAGAAGAAATAACAAAAAAGAAAAAGAAAGCTAGAAATGTAACGCTTGTTTTTATTTGCCGAATAAAAATATAAAAAAAGAACGGAGAGATAAGGAAGGAAGATAAATAAATAAAATAAAGATACGAACGGTGAAGAAAAATATAAAAATGAAAGAAAGTATAAAAAGTTATAGGGGGGTGGTGAATGGGGGGTGGTGGCCTATCTTTAACAAATTTAATCGAATCTTTTCGAAATGGGAAAGATTTGAAGTTTCCTTTTCAAAAGATTCCATATCTAAAAGTCGAATGCTATAGTTTATCTTTCCCATTGCATATGATTTTTTTTTCTTTTTCATACGATGAAAAATTCATTCCCATTACGAGATGTAATTCTTTTTATTTTTTTTGTTCTTGTAAATTTTGTTTAAACTTTTCTCATAATATTGCTGACACAAGTACCATTTTTGCATAAGAATTGAATAAAACAATTGTTACGAATCCGAAGTTTTAGATTTACGATGAGGTTTAGTATCGGTGGAAATATAAATTGTTTTATTACTAGAACACAAACAAACTATAGAACAATAGGTAAGAACGATAAATGTTAAATATATTTTGTATTTTTGTTTCTTTTCGTATAAAAAATTGATTACTTTTTTCGAACAAATTGCAATTAATTTTTACGACAATTGCACAAATGCAATTTAAATATTTAAATGTATATTCTTGATTCATTTTATATAATAATTTTATGTTTATCATTTTTATTTTCCCCGAACACACTAAAAAACATATTATTATTATTATTATTATTATTTATATGATTTAAAGTACGCCCGTAGAAATAATTACTTTTTTTATGGGAATCAACGAGGTGTCCCGAACAGAAAAGAATAGGTGAAGTGTAAGGGGGTGTTAGGAGGTGTTAGGGGATAGTGAATCGGATCGATAAAGCTCGTTAATTGAATGCCGATGAACAAGCGAGAAAAAAAAAAGATTAACGATATGCATTTTCGATTGGACGATCCAACTGTTAACTATTTTTTTCTTTCTCTCTCTCTCTCTCTCTTTACATTCAACCCTTTACATATTATTAAAAAAAAAAAAAAAAAAACCAAAGAAAAATAAAGTATACATTTATATTCTATAGACAAATATTTTGTTGTTCAATAATATATATATTATATTATACTTTTTCTTGTATCTTTTTTCAACGATACCAAATTTCATTGACAAACCATAAGTTGTTATTATTCAAATCGTAAAAATATAATATGTTGTTTGTTGTATATGCAATTTAAAGAAAGAATATTAAAACGCGTTTCACATTGAATTATTAAATATTCCGATTGGAATATGAAATATTTAAACAAAACTTTATTACACGATAGTAGTAGACAGTTAACTCGATAAATTTTAACGCGTTTTTGTAATTTGTTTTACGTATTAATCCCGTAATTTACTTTTACAATCATTCAAATGGAAATTAACGTGATCTATGTGAGATGATGAACTAAAAATTCGAATGTTCCTCGTTGTTAAATGAAAATAATCAAAAGAGAAAAATTCATTCGAAACGGGGGGGGCGGGAATGAGAGGACTTTTTTTTTAATGAAATTTATGCACGGTCAGAATCGAAATAAGAATTTTTTTTTTTTTTTTTACAACTAACCCATAAAAAGTTTGTTGGAATAGGAAAGAGAGAGAAAAAATTTCGAAAGAAGTAATACGCGAAGGAACATGATGATGATCATCTATGCCGAGATGAAAATAAAATTTCGAATTATTCCATGTTGGATAAAATAATCGAACAAAAAAAAAAAAAAAAAAAAAAAAGAATTTAATCGAATGGAATATGTAAAAATTTTTCCGATCAAAATTTGTGCACGTCAGAATCATATTACGAATTTTACAACTAAACCCGTAAGTTTGTATTACGATCATCGTTATAGAGAACAAAAAAACAAGAAGAAGAAGAAGAAGGAAACAAAAAATTGCAAAAGAAATAACACGCGAACGTGATCTTTCTCTCTTTTTTTCTATCTCTCTCTTTCTCTAGAATATGAAAATATTCGAATTGGATAAAATAATCAAAAACTTGATCGGAAAGGTAAAAAAGTGAAAAAAAAAGAAAAAAAAAAAAGGAAAAAAAAACAAGAAAGTAGTAGAATTTTCCACAAACTTTCTGCATGTCAAGAAACGTATATGGAATTTTATAGCCAAACCATGAGTTACCTATCTCTACCTTTTTACGATCATATAAATTTAATAAAGAAAAATATATACAAATATAATAAAATATAATAAAATAAAAAAAGATAAGACAAAGGAATGTTTTTAAGAAAAAAAAATAATACGCGAAATATATCGTAGATTTTCATTGGATCTAATAAAACAAAAAGAAGGAAAAAACAAGGGGTAGAAAATATAGATGAAGCAATACGTTTAGAACCAATCGTATGGGTGACCATAAAGTTTCTCCTGTCACTCCGTTCGTTTCTTATGGCTCCTACCATATCCCTTTTTTTTTGCCGTGTAGTAAAATATGTAACAGATTTTTTTCTACTCTCTCTCTTTCTCTCTCACGCACGTACTAACCCCCATTCCACCCTTTCTCTCCCTCTCTTTCCATTTTCTCAAAAAAATAAAAGAATAAAAAACAGAGAAAAGGGCTCGACAAGTAATGCGACGTGGAGTGCGTTGAGAAAGAAAAAAAGATTAAAAAAAAAAGAAATAAAAAGAGAGAGAGAGACAATGAGTGAGGGTGAGAGAGAGAGAGAGAGAAAAGAAAAAAAAAGAGAAGACACCAAGGGGTTGATAAGAGCCTCGTGGTATGTCTCATTACTTTGAAAAGTCAAATCAATGAATGGAATGGAAAAGAAAAAAAAATTAAAACAAAAAAAAAGAAAAGAAAAAAATCCTGCTCACATGACATTAATCATTTTCATTCCATAATTTTGAACGTGTAATAATACTCAAACTTGTGTATTTTAATGAAATCCCAATGCACCATGCACGTTAGAATGCATCTAGAATTTTTCTAAATGATTAATTATGTTAGATCATACAAATTTCGTTGTTTTGTTTTATTATTTAATTTCTCGTTGACGTTTCGATTCAAACCAATATATATATATATATAATTATTTGAATTGGTAATTGAAAATAATGTTGGAATTTGTATATGCATAATTAATATTAGGACATTTTATATATAAAATATTTTCTTGTTTGTTTGTATATTTTATATATAAGAAAATATTCATAGAAAAACAATCTAATGTTTTATACGAATTCGAACATATTAATATTATTAAATATAACCCATAGAACACAAATTCCAACGTTATTCTTGTAGAGTATACCAGTAATTAATTAATTAATTAAACAAAACAAAAGACAAAAAATAAAAGAATAAAAAACTTTCAGGATAGATGATGAAAGAGTTAGAATAGCAAACAACAATACCATCGTCATCAACAACAACACCTATATATATATAAAAAGAAAAAACAACAAGGAAAAACACTATACGACAAAGATACGCACAGAGAGAGAGAACAAACCTCCCACGAAAGAATATATCAAGTTAAAGGGAGAGAGAAAAGTAGAAGTAAAAAAATAAAAAAAAAGAAAAGAAAAGAAGAAGAAAGGATAGGAAAGAAAAATCAACAACATCGAGATAGAATGAAGAGACTTGTCCCATTCGGCAGACGTACCCACCCTCTTGTAGGTCTAGGCTCGTTTCCAGGTAGCAAAGCAGTGTACCGAGTTTGTACTTCAGTTGGTAGAACGATGTCAACGCTCTTCGATCTGATGTTTTGTTGGGGTACATCAAGCGAATGACAATCCTCGCTGTTGTTATTTTTATTATTGTTAAAACATGAATCTACGGATGCGGCACGATCCCTTTTAAGTTCAGGCACGGTTAGAAATATTTCTCTTACTACGAGTTTATCTTTGGCACCATTATTATCAACGACAATCAATGATTTCTTCCTATGATCCTCGATATTATTCTGATCCGATTCTTTTTCGATTTCATCGTCGTCCTCGCGAGAACCTGACGGGGACGAGGGTAAATCGGGGGGACAAGAAGTCAATGCCTCTTGCCGTGACAATTTTGGAAATGCGATTGACCTTCTGCGAGGTAAATCGGGACAAAGTTCAGGCTTCAATTCGGATATGCTGCTACTGCTACTGGTGTTTATGCTGCTACTAGCAATGGTATTACTCGCAGAAGGATTAAGGATTAACTCGTTTGTAATTATGGTAGACGATGACGGAGATGATGACGGTAATATTGAATCAGATTTATCTGTGGTACAACATGCGGTAAAAGTAACTCTGATCTCGGGACTACCGTCACGTTTCGATTCCAATTTGAAATCAAGTTCATCGTCGGTTGGAAGATATTGTTCGTCTTGTTCCTCGTCGGGAACATCCTCGACGTCATCCTCGATGTCATCGTCTTCGTCATCCTCATCCTCATCCTCGTCGTCGTTGTCATCGTTGTCAGAATAATCGTAATCGTCGTCCCTAGACGAGGAAGCTGTTGTCGTAGCAGTAGTAGTAGTAGTTTCATCGTCATCTCTGCTAAGAAAGAGACTTTTGTATTCCTCGACGCAAGCACAATGATAACAACCGGAAACCTGTATAGTCGGGGGAGTGTTCACCCTTCGAATTGCACCCAATGACCTTTGGGACGGTGGCAAACCAACGTTCCTTTCGTAAACGTCGAAGCTCTTGGAACGTTGACCGGTTTGCAATGGGGGTACTCTCAACGTAGAAAATCTTCTTCCCCTTCCCGATGAATCCTGCGATCGCGCTGGTGAACAGGACGAAGAAGAGGACGAAGTATTTCTCGGTGATCTCGATGCTTCCCCGTATGCCGGGGAACAGGCACCACCACCCCCGCCCCCGACATTTGTCGAACAAGAAGAATCCTCTTGACGTTGAGCTTCCAATTGGATCTCGTCGAAGGAAGCCGATCTCACCTGTTTCGGCACTTCCAGGCTCGATTGCGATTTCATTTCTGCGCCCGTAGGTGTGCGCGACCTTTTGAAGGTCGAACGAAATCTCTGCATTATCACTTGGCAGCTATCTCCCCAATGAGGATAATTCCTCCTCCAGTTTAGTTCTTAATTCGTATGGTAACAATTTGATCGAATCCGACCAATAACTTTTTCCTTCTTCTTCTTCTTCTTCTTTTTCTCGGTGGTCTTCCTTATGGTGGCGGTGGTAGTTTTGGTGGTGGGGATGAGGGTGTTGTTCTTGGTTTGGTCTCGTCCTTATCCTTTTCCCTTCCACCTCCTCCTGCCCTTCTTCTTCTTCTTCACTGACACGCTTTTCGCCAAGCTGCCTAAGCAGCAGGCGTTTAGCCTGCTCAGTGTTGAAGAGGTCAATGACCTCGGTGCACCTCACCGACGACGAGGTCGTCGTCTCGAGCTGCCCTCGATCGCACCCTTCCTCCACCGTGAACTTAGCTGCCGATCTGCAGCCCATCCTAAGTCTCTTCCCTGATACCTACCTACCCTCAGCTTCCTCCTCCTCCTCCTCCACCACCACCTCCACCTCCTTCTCCTCCTTCTCCTTCTCCTCTTCCTCTTCCTTTTCCTTTTCCTCCTCTTCTTTCCTCACTTTCCAACACTCCTCCAACCACCACTACGAAGTACACACCAGCTGATCGTTACGATTTCAACCCTAATCGTCGTCCAGCAAACATCTCACCGATAAATCTCTCTGCTTTTTTAATCTTCTTCGACGATTTTTCATACCGATTAATCACTTTTGAAATTTCTTCTTCTTGTTTTTTTTCTTTCTTTCTTTCTTTCTTTTCTTTAAATCAAATACATCGGACAAATTAAATCGTTCAATTCTAGTCAATTGAGATACGTCCCACCAGCGTTGGTATCTTATTTCACTCGTATTCGTTTAATTCGATCGAACGTGTTAGAGTTTATTTTTTTTTTTATTTTTTTTTTATATATATAGATCTCACTTAACTTTGTCTTTGATACACTGTGTTTGTTCGTCGCGATTGTCCAGCAGGAGGGTATTTTTTTTTTTTTTTTTTTTTTTTTTTTTTTTAGTTTCGTTTCACTCGTACTTTATTGTTAATTAAAAAGTAATACCTCTCTCCTGTGTACACACCGACGTTTCGTCAAATTAATTCGAAAATTCTTTTTCCTCTTCCTCTTTCTCCCGTTCCTCTTCTTCTTCTTCTTCTTCATTAACAGGTTCTATTTTTATTTGATCAACACGTATTTTAGAAATTTAATACTATTATAAATATAAAGTGAAAACGGTCATTGAGCGTTAACGATCAACGACGAGAATAAAGCAAACATTAAACTCGTGGTTCTTTAACACCGCATTGAGATAACCACTATCAACACGTTGATCACAAGGCTAGGAAAATATTTCTACGTGTGCATGTGTGTATATGTGTGTATGTGTGTGTGCATACGTGTAAGATTATCAGAAAGAACGTAGCGGTTTAGCTTGTTATCATCAGCGTTCGTTTTTAGAACACGTGACAATTTTTCTCTTTCGAAACATATTTTCAAATATATAACTTAACACTCGAACAAAATTATTTTCTGAATTGTATTTTCATATTGTTTATCCATATTTTGTATACCTCGTTTCAATCGACAACAAATTTACCCCCTTTTTTCTTTTACAAATAATAATAAATAATAGATTTTCAATTCGCGACGCGAAATCAACACTCGTATCAAATCAACGAAAAAAACCCAATCATATTTTTTCTCCTGACAAAAAACGAATGACGATTACAGAAAAAAAACAACGATCACATTGATCGATTTTAAAACAAAAAAAAGAACCTTCAAAGTATTATTCACCACAATTAATGTCCCCTCGTTGCAAAGAATCAAACGCGAATATATAACATGTTCAGTGGAAAATAAAAATTGAATCCAACAAAAAACCAAACCAAAACAAACGTATTACTTTCATAGATCCAACATGAAAAATTCTTCTATACACTGGCCAAACCAACCAACTGGTTAACCAACTAATCACATTTGTCAGATACCATACCGGTTAGGTACGTTTCAGTTAAGTGTGTGTATCGGTAATCACGTAGATGGGGAATGAGAGTATGAGAGAATGAGTGGACGACCGATAGACAGATAGACAGACCGGCTTGATCTAATCGTTAATAGCACCAGCACCAGAACCAGAACCAGAATCAGCACCAACAGCAACAACAGCAGCAGTTTAGTGCTGCTGGTAGCTGTTTTAATCAAAGCACCCTCCTAAACCGGCCTAACACGCGCGTGCGAAAAAGAAACGATTGGCTGCCAGTAAAGGATAGACAAATAGAAGTGAGATAGACAGATAGATAGGATAGGGATTTGGTAGTGGGGAGGGGGATGAGAAAAAGGGAAGGTGTTTGGTAGATAAAAAGAAAGAAAGAAATAAAAAAGAAAAAGAAAAGTAGAAAGAAGGAATAGATCCCTGAACTTATTTAGGTGTGTCTGTCTCAAATCTATCTATCTATCTATCTATCTATCCATGTGTGTATAGTGTGTTGAATATTAGTATTAGTTAAAAGGTGAAATAGATAGAAGAAAATAGGAACGTGCCGTGACAGGTTAGAACTCTGTGCTCGGACTAGTGACCAGGGCTCAGCAATGCCGGTTGCTTTGGAACTTACTCTCTCTCTCTCTCTCTCTCTCTCTCTCTATACTCTGTTAGGGGTGACTAAAGTGAGACAGAGAGAGATATATATATAGGAGAGAAAGAGAGGGAGCAAGTGAGGTGAATGAGGATTGGGTGAGGAAAATAGTTGGAGGGAGAGAGAAAGAGAAATAACGACAGTGTACCTCTCACTCCCACTACTTCTATTCCTCGGTCAGACATGCGCCCTTTTATCATTCCATCTACCCACCCCCACTACCACCACCACCACCACCACCCCTCTACCACTCTCTCTGTCTCTGTCTCTTATTCGCTCGCTTTTACCTTTATCCTCTTTGTGTACGACATACGTGCATGGCTCTATGTACACTTGTACGTGTGCACTCTTTCATATTAACGTTGTATGTATGTATTCAATATATACTAATACTTGCGAACTATTTTACCGAGTTTTCGTATGGGTGTTCTCTCTATGGGGGGTGGTATATAGTATTCTTGTTCTATATATATATTATATTTGTTACTTTGTTAGTGTAGATACACATTTGATAGACTAATACAAATATATTATATTATTCTAACACATAGGTATATATCTATCCTATGTGTTTATATACGTGATTTCTATATGTACTATAAATGTATATATATATGTGTGTGTGTGTGTAATTTATATTGGTGTGTATTTAATATACTAATACTTATATGCACTTAGTAGTTGTCTCTCTCTCTCTCTGCGTGTAGTCGGACTATACTACTAATACTAATATCGTTTCTCTACACCTGTAATCACGTATCGGTGTGTGTTAAGAGTTCAGGAGGGATTGAGAGTTTGGATGCTGAGGGTTTTGGGAGTTCGAGGGTTGGTTTGGGAGAGGTTGGGTTGAAGGGGAGAGACCTCATGTGTACTTCGGGGGGTTTTTTTTTTCTCTCTTGCTTATACGTGTACAAGTATGTATGTGTGTATTACATTGTCGTGTTAGGCAAGGGCAAACACGTGCGAATTTTTTCTTTCTTTCTTTCTTTCTTTCTTATTCTTCTTCTTCTTCCACCGATTTTATTATACGAAGCAACCACCCTCTCTTTCTTCCTTATCCATCCATTTCTTTCTTTTTCTCTTTTCTTCTATTTCTTGTTGTTAGTTTTTTTTTTATCTACCTGTCGTATCTCCGCTTAAGGGATGTAGAGAATCGTCCGAGATAAAAGATACCTCTCTCATTCATCTTATCTTTTCTTAAGATATATTCTTTACCCCCTAGTTTCTCTTATTTTCTTCTTCTTCTTCTTCTTTTCTTATATATTCGTATATGTGCGTGCGTGCGTGTTTATTTTTTGCTTTTCTTTAATCTCTCTCTTTGTATTTTTTTTTTTTTTTTTTTAGGTATATCAGATGAGTTAGAAATATTTGCGAAGAAAAAGAAAAAAAAAAAGAAGAAGTATGGAAAAATGGGGATGGTGGATTTAAAAGAGGAATGAATCGACGAAAAGACAAAGAAGGGGGTGGGATGGGGTGGTGAAGACAAGGGGTATAAAGAGTAAGTGGGAAAATCGACGTTCCACGTTTCTTATTGAGAACGATAGAGGAACTGGTTGGAAAAGGAAATGCAGCTGCAACTGCAGAAAGAGAAAGAGAGAGAGAGAGAAAACCTTTCAAGTGGGTTTAAAGTTCCCTTTTTTAATCTCCGACACGGGTGCATAGTGGATGATATCGTTTCTTGCGAATGATCCTCCAAAGTATAGAAAAATATAGGAAAATCATAGAAAATGTGAGAGAATGGGGGCCGCCACTGTGATATCCTTCGAAAATATAAAATAAAATAGAAAAAGGATAGTAATTTCCTATACTTTACTTAAAATTTCATTTCTTTCTCTCTCTCTCTCTCTCTCTCTCTATATATATATATATATATATATATATTTTATTTATTCTCTTAACTTTGTAAAAATATCGTATAAAATTAAATTAAATTAACCGAATGTGAGAGAGATGCAACGCGTATAGCAAATCTTCCAAATTCATTGTGCATTCTTGATTAAATAATAAAAGAAAGTGAGAGAGAGAGAGAGAGAGAGAGAGAGAGAGAGAGAGAGAGAGAGAGAGAAAGAGATAAAACGCGAAAATAAAATTAAACAAAAAACAAAAAAAAAGAAACAAGAAAAATACGAAGAAACTTATTACTGTATGCATCACTCTCTCTAACTTTTATCTCTCTCTCTCTCTCTCTCTCTCTTTTTCTCCATTTCTGCAGCGTTTATTTTTTAATTGTTTTTCCGACCACTTTTATAATTTTTAATTATTTTTCATTCTTTTACATATATATATATATATTTTGTGTGTCTTTAAAATATATAAAAGAGTTATCGTAAAAATTAATTAATACATTTCAACGATAATCTTTCGCGTTTATATTTATTATTATTTTTCGTATATTGTTTTTTTAATCCGTATTGGTAATATTTTTTATAATTTTTTTTTTTTTTTTTTTGTAAAAATATCGCGAAAATGAATTATTAATAATAATAATAATAATAATTCGTGTTATTAGGTGAACGACGTGCGATGAAAATCGTCCTTTGAAATTCGCGATGAATGGAAGAGAGATCAAAAAATAATGTAAGAGAGAGATAGAGATAGAGATAGAGATAGATAGATAAATAGATTGAACGTGAAGATAAAATAGAAAGAGGGAAGCTTATTTTTATACGCCACTTAAAATCTTATCTTTTTTTTTTTTTTCCTCTTTCTATCTCTCTCTCTCTCATACACATACACGCAGACAAATTCTTTTTATCTATTTTTTTGCAGCTTTATTTTCTTTTATCTCCCCATTCTTGTTTTCTTCCTCTTTTCGCGCTCGAATTTTTGTATGTAGAGAATATATCCTAAAAACGGATTAATAATCTTTACCGAAACGACCCAGTGACGTTATCTTTCTCTCTCAATTTCTTTCAATTTAATTTACTTTATCTACCACCGTGTGAAAATGAAGTCTTCTATATTATTTGTTCCCTATTTTTGTTTGTTTGTTTGTTTGTTGCAAAATATCGCAAAAGATAGAATTATCATTTAATTCTAATTACTTGCAATTTGTAGAAAATTTATATTTAATTATACAACGTTGTCATTTTATCTTTAATTTATTTTCTTACTTATTATTTTTGTTTTATTATTTCAATGATTATTATAAAACGAATCACATAAACTTTCCATCAGTCCTACCTATATTCACGTTCGTTATATATCATACAATTTAGTTTCTTCGTTTAATCATTATTCCCATGAATTTATTTGATTTTTTCTTATTTTTACCTATTCATTTGATTTCACATAATATCATCGAAAAAGAAAAAAAAGAAAAAAAAAAAGGAAACTATGGGAAAACTAAACGAGTAAGTATAATAAGTATGGAAGGAACTGAGCAACCAACCAACCAACGAACCAACCAACCAACCAACCAACGAACAAACAAACAAACAAACAAACAAACGAGCAAACAAGTAGGTAAGAAATTTCAAGAAAAGACGAGGAAAAACCGTTCTTGCGAATATAAATTCAGGTTACTTTAGAAAGCTCTTTTCCTACGCGTTGCGTTACTCTCGATATCGATTACTATTTTGCTTGACTTTCACATAAACGACAACCCCCTAACAACCCCTTTCGTCCACCCACCCCTATTCCACCCTCCCCAGCCCCTTCATCCATTTTCTCATCTACTTTCCCTTCCTTCTCTTCGTACGTATAATCATCTCACCCCCATACACCTTCCCCCTTCTTTCTTCATGTACACATAAACATTTATATATATATATGTATACACATTTCTATTTATATATATATTCGTTTTCTTTACATATACATTCACACATATACACAAACATGTCTATTAGATCATTAAATATGAAACGTCTGATTACTCGGATTATTTTCACCTCGAAATCAGACGTTTCATACTTAATAACCTAATACATAAACTTCTTCTATCTTTTTTGTACTCTATTTCGGGTCCCCTTTTTATTTCATTAATTTTTTTCTAAACAGACAAATGTTCTCTTTTATCTTCCTTATAGCAGCGTGCGTGCGTGCGTGCGTGAATGAGTGTGTGTGTCTTTGTCCTTTGATAATTTAATAGGAATATTCATTAGGCAACTAAAATCATTTATCATCTTATCTAAGATAATTAGACTTTCTAATATAGTCTAACATACTGACTGACATTATCGATTTCTTGTATATAAACCAACTCCTCTTTGTATACGGGGTGTCTTGCAAAAATTTCAACCAATATTATATTACGCATTTGAATTAATTCGTGTTAAAACACATGCGTCGGGACAATACTTTCTTTTTTTTTATTTAAAAATATATTAACGTTCTCGTAAATTCGCGAACAAAACGCGTAGCCAAAAGTGTGCACTTTAATTTCATATAAATTTCATTAAAATCTATTTACTTTTAGTATAAAAAATATTTGCCGAAACTTTTCAAAGAAATTGCAACGATGCACAATTTACAGCATTGCATTCTCTGACATTTTCTAAACCATTGCAGATTGTTTTATAACTCAAAAAGATACTCTGCGCGTAAACAAAAGAGTGTACTTTAATTTAATATAAGCTTCATTAAAATCTATTCACTTTTAGTATAAAAAATATTTACTAAAACTTTTCTAAGAAATTGCAATGATGCACAATTTACACCATTGCATTCTCTGACATTTTCTAAACCATTGCAGATTGTTTTATAACTCAAAAAGATATTCTGCGCGTAAATAAAAGAGTGTACTTTAATTTAATATAAGTTTCATTAAAATCTATTCACTTTTACTATAAAAAATATTTACCGAAACTTTTCAAAGAAATTGCAAAGATGCACAATTTACAGCATTGCAATCTGATATTGTGTGGTCATATTATGGCTGCGTGTGTCTGTGCTGAGAATGTATTCTTTTCAACGTTGTTTAAATAGTAATTTGATATTC